AGGAAGGAATTGGCTGCAAAAGGGTGTAAGGAAATTTTTTAGAGTGATGTTAGTATTCTACATGTTGGTTGTGGTGGTTACAACTATATGCATTTGTCACAAATTGTACACTGAAAATTTACTAATTTTATTGCATGTAAATTATACCACAATAAAGCTGGTTAAGTAAAGAGTCTTGTGATGATATCATGGTTTCCTTATAGGAAATAACTAATAGCAAACACTGTTAATAAATAACTAGAACATTCTTTACATGATTAAATAAGCTGGTTTTAGATGAACATTGAAAATTCCTAATTTCTTGATTGAATGACAAATAATTTATTAAATACTACCATGTGTCTGATTCTATACTAAAAGATTTATGTTCTTTTTTAAATTCCTGCACCAACAAGTACTGTCGAATAAGAATTCTTATTCCTATTTCTATATACTGAGGCTCAGAGATGTTAGGTAAACTTGTGCAAGTCCAGATACTTTGTTTTTTAAAAATCAGTGTCATGCATTAATATAGTTTCAAAGAGGCTAAACTGACACTTATTTGAGATTTAGGAATTTCGAGGAGTCAGATGATTTTGTCCAAAAAGTACATATAGTAATAACAGTTTAAATTCAACAAATAACTATTGGCTTACTCTCTGACAGGCACGGTGCTTGATATTTCAGGGAACATAATGCTGAAATATATAGACTTTGCTTTCAAAGTATATACCATGTCACATGGAGATGAGATGCATAAATAAATGCATAAATAAATTCTCACCTCAGGTGAGAATAAGATTAGAAACAACCGTGCGTTGAAGGAGTAAGGATCTTCAACTTCTCCTAAATTGATTAATTTAAAAAACACAACAGCCACCAAGAGGAATTGGGAGAGGTTCAGGCTTAGATGAGTTTGAGATAAGAAAGGCAAAATCTTGTCTCCCTCCCTTGCTCTATGTATTTATTCTCAGTTCGAAGCTAATCTGACAACCTATGAGTGTGCATCACTGGACGCTATTGCTTACACTTCGCATGGATACCTCTTAATTCACTCAGGTCTCTGCTTAGGTTTTCTTCCAGAGAGGCCTTTCCTGACCATGCTAACTGAAAGAGTATTTCTCATTCTCTATCTATCCCCTCCTCTTTATTTTCCTTCATATCATTTATTACTATCTGACACTATGTTAAATATTTCTTATTTGTTTATCATTTGTCTCCTCCAGTAGTATTTAAGCTCCTTGGGGAAAGGCCCATAGGTCTTGTTCAGTATTGTGACTCTAGAACCTAGATTAGTCCTTTACACTCTTTGTTGAATGAATGAACGAATGAATTTTACGAGAGTTTTTCCGACTATAATAACTCATCTCCATGTCTTTTGGTCTTCACTTGAAGTTATGCCAATTTTCCTTTTTTTTTTTTTTAAAGATTTTAATTTTTTCCTTTTTCTCCCCCAAAGCCCCCCGGTACATAGTTGTGTATTCTTCGTTGTGGGTTCTTCTAGTTGTGGCATGTGGGACGCCGCCTCAGCGTGGTCTGATGAGCAGTGCCATGTCCGCGCCCAGGATTCGAACCAACGAAACACTGGGCCGCCTGCAGCGGAGCGCGCGAACTCAACCACTCGGCCACGGGGCCAGCCCCCTGCCAATTTTCCATTTTATGGTTATTTGCCTTTTGCTAGATATGAATGTTTTAACTATTTTGAAGTAGAAACATACTTTTTTTTTGCAACGAGGCACATACGAGAAGGATTTGAACTCTAAGGTATATCTATGGTTTAGTGTAATCTTTCTGAAACTGAATTGTGACAATTCCTCCCTCTTCTCAACGTCTTAGCCTGGGTTCTCTAGAAAACATAGCCTGAGACAAAGCTTACAGAGCTTATTTTTATTGTGCGTGGGGGTAGGTGGAGAAGGAGCAGTGAGTACAATTCCAGGAAAGGAAGAATAAGCGGGAAAGGGCCACATCTCAATGAGACACAACTGGTTGCTTGGTCACATGTGACATCTCTGGAGAGCCTCTGTGGATCTCAGAACAATCTGTTGGAGGACAAGAAAGAAGGGCCCACAATTCATCTACCATGCATTTCTTTTTTTTTTTTTAAGATTTTATTTTTCCTTTTTCTCCCCAAAGCCCCCTGGTACATAGTTGTATATTTTAGTTGTGGGTCCTTCTAGTTGTGGCATGTGGGGCGCCGCCTCAACGTGGCCTGACAAGTGGTGCCATGTTCACGCCCAGGATCCGAACTGGCGAAACCCTGGGCCGTGGCTGGGGAGCGCATGAACTTAACCACTTGCCCACAGGGCGGGCCCTTCCCATGCATTTCTGAGTTGTGTTACCTGAAGCCCCTGGGGAAGCCAGAGCCTGTGGGTCCAGTTGGTTGGAACCAGGTTCCTAAAACTGTTACTGCAGCCCAGTCCTCACCCCCAGGAGGTGACTCACCCCATCCCCATGCTTATAAAGCCCTAGATTGTGCTATCATCTCCTAATATCTCTCCGGCAAGGAAGAAAGCCAGGTGGCCAAGGCTTCCAGAGGCAGGAGAGCCAAGTGGATCAGGAATGGCATAAACTCCAAGAAATTATTCAGGGCAATTATTTCTGGCAACCAAGGCCCTAGACACGTGTGATATGTGGCTACAGCTAGCCTGTCTGAAAGTGCTCACTCCTCAGTGTCATTTCTAGTCTCAATTCTGCACCTCATTTCGTCTGTATGCCTACATTCTCTTCTGAAGTAGTGGGTTGTTTTTAACTTTGAGAATTTTGTTCAGCAATTTGAAGTGAAGAAAACCATATGCACGATATAGTTATTCTTGAAAAATCTTTATTCTATAGATTGGGAATCATTAATTCCTTCAGCAGATATTTATTAAACATCTACTAACACATGTTAGGCACTGTTTTAAGCACTAGGACTACAACTGTGAATAAAACAGAGAAAAATTCCTGCATCATGGAGCACACATTTTCGTGAGGGGAAACAGAAAAAAACGCATAAACAAATAAATATTTATTATGTCAGATGATGCTAAATGTTATGGAAAAAATAAAGAAGGGAGGTTTTCTTTTAAACTCAGTGATCTTTTGAATAGACAAACCATGACAACCCTTAAAAAGAAAGAGGAAGAAGATGTGAGCGGGGCATTTAGGGAACAAAGAGTTCTATAGGATTTGAATTCTGGTTAGGCTTGTGGCCAGGGACTAAGGAAGTAAGCTGGGGGATGTAGACTATCATAGCTTCTCTGTGCAAGACACAGCTTCTGAAACAACTTTCTGCAAGCAAGTTATAGGCAAGACACATTGCGCAGAGGATTGTACCCCTAAGAGGTACAATCGCTGTTAACTCAGCTTTACTCCACAGAGTACATGAAGTACACACTACAGAGAGGTGGCGATTCCTTTCATATAACTGAGATACAGGTGCCTGGTAACTCTGAATTATCTTCAGTAAGAGGTACACAGCTACAGAATTGAATGAGATACAGAGATGCAATACTTTATTCTTCAAGGAGATTTCGTGAGGTATGTGCTGCACAGAGTTTTATGTTCCTTCTCTGTCAGAAACAAATACTAGAAAGTGAGCTCTCATTTCCAAGTAAGGCACCAGAAATGTCCTTAAAGAGAGGAAGAATTTGGAAAGACCAAAAAAGGGCTCTGGCCAATTCTCGCAGGGGACGACTTCTCATGTAGTAAATATCAGGCTGAAATTAGATGGAGATGACTTTTCAGAGAATCAGAAAGCAGATGTCAGTTACTGATGACCAACTTAATATAGACATCTAAAAATGAGGATCTCCTAGTAAGACTTCATTTAAGCTGAACAAGCATTTGATCCCAGAATTTTTAAGCAGAATAATCTTAACCAGCTTAGATGGTCAATTCTTGTGCTGTCAGGTCTCAAAAAAAAAAAAAAAAGCTTGGGTGCCAAGAAGCTGAAAAGTAAAAATATTACAGATTATTGTGTTAGACCACTGGGTACATAATTCACTCTTGCTGAAGGGGCTCATTCATTTTTTCAACTGATTACAAGTGCTTACAAATTACCTATGCCAGGTACTTTGCTAGATGTTGGAGATACAAAACTGAGCAAAAATTGATCTGGGTCTTGCCCTCATAGAGTTTATAGTTGTAATGATAACTCTAACAAGGGCTATTAAGAAAGCTCATTATAGGGCCGGCCTCACAGCTGAGTGGTTGGGTTCGCGCACTCCGCTTCGGTGGCCCAGGGTTTCACCACTTAGGATCCTGGGCGTGGACATGGCACTGCTCATCAGGCCATGTTGACGCGGCATACCACATGCCACAACTAGAGGGACACACAACTAAAATATACAACTATGTACTGGGGGCTTTGGGAGAAAAAGGAAAAATAAAATCTTACAAAAAAAAAAAAGAAAGAAAAGCTCATTGGAATGTGGAGAGCATATACCTGGAGGACAGACGTGGTCGGGGAAGTGAGGCTTGGGCTGAGATTTGCAGGCTGAGGGTGGGAAGAGTAATCAGGAGAATGAGCATTCGGGCTTTGTAGGTTGTTAAGGATTTTGATCTTCATTCAAAGATCGATTGGAAAACTGTTGCAGGTTTTTAAGTAGGAGACTTGACTTTTGAAAAGATCATTCTGGATGTTGATGGAGAGCAGATTGCAGATGGACAAGAGAGGACTCAGAGACATCATTTAGGAGGCCACTATAGCAGTTCCAGGCAAGAGCCAGTAGCTTTGACCAGGGAAGTGCCCCACTTCCTCCCTTTAATAGCTGCATTGCTTTTGAAAGTGAACTTTATAATAAGCCTTTGTCCTTCAGTCTCCATCTTCTTCCCCCATCCCCCCTTTTGTTTTTAAGATTATATTTTTTTTCCTTTTTCTCCCTAACGCCCCCCAGCCCCGGTACATAGTTGTATATTCTAGTTGTGGGTCCTTCTAGTTGTGGCATGTGGGATGCCGCCTCAGCATGGCTTGATGAGTGGTGCCATGTCCACGCCTAGGATGCTAATGGGCGAAACCCTGGGCCGCTGAAGTGGAGCGTGCAAACTTAACCACTTGCCACCAGCTGGCCCCCCCACCCCCATCTTCTTTTAAAAGACTGTTTATAAGGATATCCAGCCCTCACAACTGTGGGATTACAACCCCTAACAGGCAGATAACTAAATGTTTTTAAATGTCTTTGCCTCCATTTTTACTGATTCCAACAGATGATCTCTACAAGCATCCAAGCATTCAATGAGGTCATTTCAGGCTATGATGTGTCCCTTGAATATTATTTTATTGTTCTAAATAAAATAATTGATAAAATGTACCACAATATAAAAGATTTTGTAAGAACTTAAATGAAAGGTGGTTTCTCCTTTTTTGAGAGATTCTTTTTTAAACTCTTGTGTTATATTCAGTCATATAGAGCACCTGCTTACAATGGATACTGTAAGAACTGGAGATGTAATGGTGAAAAATACATAGTGCCTGCTCTCACAGAGTTTATATTCTAGAAGGGGAGGCAATTGGAATACAATGTAACAAGTACTATAACATAAGAAGTACAGGAGACTAAGGAGACATGATGACTAAATGCAATATGATATCCTAGATTGGATCCTGGAATGGAAAAAGGACATTAGTGGAAAATCTAGTGAAATCCAAATAAAGTGTAGTTTAGTTAATAGTGTCATATCTGTGTTCATGTTTTAGTCGACAGAGGTACCACAGTTATGTAAGATGTTAACATCAGGGGAAGGTGGGTGAGGGATATACGGGAATTCTGTACTATCTTCGTAGCTCTTCTGTAAATCTAAAATTATTCCAAAGTTAAAAGTTTACTAAAAGGAAGAATGAGGAGGAGCAGGAGGAGATTCGGGAGCCCCTGGCAAGGGCATCCAACCTAATTTGGAGGTCAAGAAAGGCTTTCAGGGGAAGTAACATTTAAGCTGAGAACTGAAGGATGAACAGAAGTTAACCAAACAAAGAGATATAGGAAGAGATGTCCAGAAATAGGATGTAGAATGTTTAAAGGTCAAGAAGCAAGAGAAAGCACGACCAGTTCCAGGAATTGAATAAAATTCAGTATGGCTGGAGATTAGACTCGGGGAGTGCTGGTGAGGAGGAGAGGCGTGGTCGAAGATACACCTAGAGTGGTAGGACATGAAGGACCTTAAAAACCATGTTGAGAAGTTTACATTCTAGGGCAGTTCCAGGAAGAAACAAAAATGACTAGAAATATATTTTTAGAAATCTTCCTTTACCAGTAGTCAAAGAAATGGAAATGAAGGCTATTGGATAATATTTTAACTTATTCAATACCAAATGTTTTAAAATTATAATATTCTTTGCTGTTGAGAGTATAAAGAGGGAGTTTCTTACTCTCTGCTGGTAATAGTAATTATTCGGGAAAGAAGCTATTTGGCGATTTAAATACAAAGGTCCAAAAATGTTCATATCCCTTTATCCCTTCAGTTTTACTTCTGGGATGTTATTTTAAAGAAATAATTAGAAGTGAAATTTAAAAAATAATATAAAAAAGATAGTCCTCATCATCATTTATAACAGTACATACTTTTAAACAATCTAGGTTTCAAAAACAGGAACATAATTAAATAAGTTGTTATGTTTCCATAGGATGAAATATTATGCAAGTAGTAAAAATATCATTTACAAAGAATTTGAGAATTTTAATGACACAGATTATAAATATATTATGTATCTATATAACATACGTATATGTATATAACGTGTATATGTATAGTCAGTTTGTTTGTGGGCATGAACGTCTGTAAACAGAACTGGCTACATAATTTGCAGGGTCCAGTGCAAAATGAAAATACAGGACCTCTTGTTCAAAAATTATTAATAATTCCAAGACAGCAACAGTGTAGCTTTAAACCAAGCGTAGGGCCCTTCTGAACACGAGTCCTGTGTGACTGCACAGGTCCTGTGCCCTTGAAATTGGCCCTATCTATAAAAAGAAGACTGAAAGAAAATATACCAAAAGTCAACAGTGATTATCTCTGGGTTTTGGGATTAATGATGATTTCTATTTCATGCGTTTTATAAATTTTCACAGTAGACATATATTACTTTTATAATCAGTGAAAAAACAGTATGTGTCTTTTAGAAAAAGACCCAAATTATACTGAAAGCAGTACTACAGTGAATTGCATTATATTTTGCTTTTACGTTCTTTTAGATATCCATTTTAGCCCACTGGGAATCACAGACACTCTTTTTAAAGTTTCTATACTATGTTTTAAAGTCACTGTAGAGAATAGAGCAGAATATAAAAATGAAAGCAGTTCTTTGCTAAGTCAAAAAAGCAAACCAAGCTGAACCACAAATAACACATTTCCATCTATTTTTGTCCCATATAGAATTAGCTATTTGGTTGGACGTTGAACATTTGCTTGAATGGTGCAATGCTGAAAATTTCTTCTCCAGTGTCCTTAGACCTACATTCATATAATTGGGAGCCCACACTGGCAATAGGAAGGAAGAGCTGCAGGAGGCCCGTTGCGTCTTGAGCACTTACTCGTTCAATGAAGGATTTAGCAACACATTTTTTTTTAAAATTGGAGAAAATTTGCATCTGGGAGACAATAAAAGACACGTTAAATGAGAAAGCATTAAGTGAGTTAAAAATCATACAGTATTGGCAATGCATTCTTTTAGAAGTTAAACAGAGTTAACAAGTTAAGCTGTTAATGACTTATAACTAGCCATTTTGGCACTAATGCAGTACAAAATCCAAGGCAAATCACTTAATCCTTTTAGTGCCCCAACACACAATCTGTCTAGGTGCAAAAGGATTGCCCCTGCAGACAGCTTGGGGTGTCAGCTTCATATTTTGGTGTATTCTCTACTGTATTGCACACTCTAATTTCCCCCCTTGTGCAATTTCAAACAGAAGGAATATGAAAAAGAAAATGGAAACTGATTAGTTATTTGCCACCTCTTCCTTTCTCTCACCTTCTATTAATGGTATTTCCTGAGAAAAGCCTCTCTTCAGAATACCTACTGAGGAGGTAGGGATGCAGCCTGAAGAAGCCAAAAGAGGGCCTCTTGTTCCACTTTAGAAGGGGAAAGAGACCAAAAGGGGAAGATCTTGGGGGGAAAGAGGAGGAGGAGGAGCAGGAAGAGGAGAGGAAGTGAGAGTGTCTAGACAGGGAGGGAGGGTGAACAGGTTTGAGAAAGACTTGAGGCTGATGTTTGCAAAAGGTTAGGGACAGAGAGGTTCAAATAGGTATTTAAAAGGTGCTGCTAGTGGTGTAGGACGTAACCACCTCTCTGTTTCCCTTGAAACTTTTAGTAAAAAAAAAGTATTGCTCACCAAGACTTTTGCTGTTTCTGTTTCACTGTTTCTGTCATCTGGATGAGAGAACATTAGAGAGTGGCCTCCGTGGGGAGGCAGAGAGGGCCAAGGAATGTCAGGTACCTTCATGTTACGGGTTGGAGAGAGAAAAAGGGACTCCTTTCTTTCATGTCTATTTTTCACAAGTGCAGGGGAGGAAAAAGTTTTCCTGGACCTTCTTAGGTTCCCTAGCTGGGTTTGAAAATTAAACTGACCAAAGACAGATTAACAGGAGAAAAGCAAACAGATTTATTTAAGTTTTATGTGACATGGGAGCCTTCATAAGGAAAAGAAGAACCGAAGAAACAGATAGATCTGAGTATATTTCTCCTAGGATTGATGAAGAGTAGGCAGTTGGGTAGAAAACTAAGTTAGGATATGAGGTAAGTGTGGTAAACTGGAGGAAACTCAGCAAGGTCTGTTTGTTAGGATTCTTCTCAGCATCCCTTTGTCTTCAGAGAAAAGGATGCTCCTTTCCTCTGGGTACAGGAAGAGCACCTCTCACATGAGGGTTTTATGACCTGTTTCAGGGGAGAAGAGCAAGCAGAAGGTCAGGGTGACCTTCCTGCTTCTGCCATTTTCTCAAACTCCTTCAGCTTAAAATAGTCCATATGCTAAGGTGCTATATTTTGGAGTAGTGTGTTCTGAACCTCATCACAAGCAAAGAGGAGATTCACAGTTAATTCTCTTTAAATGTATCTAGTCTGTAAATGTGCACACATTTAAATTTTACTTGCTCACTTATTACTCATTAATTTAACAAATATTAATTTAACTGCAGCTCCTGCTATTTGCCAGGTACTGCGTGAATTGTTCCTTGGAATAAGCACCAACTAACACAAACCTGGTCCCTGTTCTAGTGGAACTTACAGTTTAATAGTTTATGCTCTAGTGGGACGAAAAGACTCACAACAAGTTATGAATAAATATAGCAAGTAGGGGTACTATAACATGTTATTTTTTGTTAAAAAAAAAACAAAGTATCACTAGTCATCAAAGAAACGCAAATCAAAACCACAACGAGATATCACCTTACACCTGTTAGAATGGCTATTACTAAAAAGAGAAGAGGGGCCAGCCCGGTGGTACAGTGGTTAAGTTTGCACGCTCCGCTTCATCAGCCTGGGGTTCTCGGGTTTGGACCCTAGACACAAACTTACGCACCACTTATCAGGCCATGCTCTGGCAGGCCTCCCACATATAAAATAGAGGAAGATGGGCAAAGATGTTAGCTCAGGGCTGATCTTCCTCAAAAAAAAAAAAAAAGAAATAACAAGTGTCAGCAAGGACGTGGAGAAAAGGGAACGCTTGCTCACTGTTGGTGGGAATATAAATTGGTGCAGCCACTGTGGAAAACAGTCTGGAGGTTCCTCAAAAAATTAAAAATAGAACTACCATATGATCCAGCAATTCCATTCCCAGGTATTTATCTGAAGAAAACAAAAACACTAACTTGAAAAGATGTATGGACCCCGTGTTCATTGCAGCATTATGCACAGTAGCCAAGATATGGAAACAACCTAAGTGTTCATCCATGGATGAATAGCTAAAGAAGACGTGGTATCCATATACAATGGAATACTATTCGGCCATATAAAAAATGACATCTTGCCATTTATGGTAACATAGGTGGACCTTCAGGACATTATGCTAAGTGAAATAAGGCAGACAGAGGAAGACAAATACTGGATGATCTCTCCTACATGTGAAATTAAAAACAAACAAACAAATGAAAAAACAAATCAAGCTCATAGATACAGAGAACAGATTGGTGGTTGCCAGAGGTGGGGGGTGGGGTAGGCAAAATAGGTGAAAGGCGTCGAAAGGTACAAACTTCCAGCTATAAAATAGATAAGTCATGGGGATGTAATGTACAGCATGGTAACTATAGTTAATACTGTACTGCATATTTGAAAGTTGCTAAGAGAGTGAATCTTAAAAGTCCTCATCACAAGAAAAAAAATTTTGTAGTTATGTATGGTGATGGATGTTAACTAGACTTACTGTGGTGATCATTTTGTAATATATACAAATATCAAATCATTGTGTTGTACACCTGAAACTAATGTAATGTTATACGTCAATTATACCTCAATAAAAAAAAATGGCAGAGCAAAACTTTTCAGATGATTTAGTTATAAGCATATTATGGTTTTATTACAATCCAACTTTTAAGCAAGGGAAATGCTTCTAGGAAAGCATTTTATAGGATTTTATAGGAGAGTAGAAAGCTTAATCTTTTTTAGATTGGCTGTAAAGAAGGTTTGTTTAAGGTCACTCTAGTTAGTTAAATGGATGGGTAATTAGTTTTCCCAGAATAAGTCCTAATTTGGTTAAAGTTCAGAAAATTCCTTAAGCATTTTATCAGGAATGTTAATTTCTTCCCAATCCAGGTTTTCCGACAATTTTTATCTTATAGTGTTGTTTTTTTTTTAAGATTGGCACCTGATTTAACATCTGTTGCCAATCTTCTTTTTTTACTTCTTCTTCTTCTTCTCCCCAAAATCCCCCAGTATGTGGTTGTCTACTCTAGGTGCACATCACTGTGGTTGTGCTATGCTCATCATGGCTTGATGAGCAGTGCCACATCCATGCCCAGAATCTGAACTGGCGAAACCCTGGGCCACCGAAGCGGAGCACACGAACTTAACCATGTGGCCACAGGGCCGGCCCGTCTTGTAGTATATTTTTAAAAGGTATTTCAATGTACTTCTTCATCTCAATTTTTAGCTGTAAATATATCCTATTTTCTCACATCAGTCTGTATTTAAAACATAGTGATCCTTCCTCTTTGTTGTGAAAAACAGGGCTGAGATGGAGATCACAATGGGAGTCCTAGTTTAAATAAAATGAGCAGAGATGACCTCTCTGAGGAGCTAATATTTAAGTTGAGGAAGACAACTTTGAAGTCTAAAGGAAGACAAAACCTAGTAAAGTGAGATGATAGGGAAGAGCATTCCATCTGTGGGAACAGCTTGTACAAAGGTCTTGAGAAAGGGGAGTGACTTTGAAGATGGCGTTGCCTGAGGACACGGACATAGAAGGTTGGAATTCAATTCAGAAAGTTGAGAGATGGGCTCTGATTGATCCATTCTGAGCCAGATTCCAACCCCTGTGGATAAGGTACTGTGAATAATATGGGAGGAACCAGGGTGAGGTGCTAAGACCAGGGGAAGGGAGTAACAACTCAAGAAGGAGGGTGACTCCTCTTCAAATTCCCATAGAGGAAAGACTTTTGTAGAATTTGATTCCCTGAGGGTACCATCCATTCCTACACTATCCTCATGCAAGAGTGACTTGTGTGATTAGTGACATCAGGACAAGTCATTGGAAGCAGAAGCACTGCGCTGAAAAAGGAAGTCCAGAGGTTTACACCATCAATTGTGACTGATATGCTCTCTGTTCTGTTGGTAACAGGGTTTATGAGACAGGTCCTGATGCTCTGCACTGCTGGCTTAGAGAGTGTGTGTCTTCCTTGTAGTCACAATACTCTCGAAAGATGGGTTGGAAGCCTAGACAGGAGGGGAATTGGGAGAAGCCCTAATGTAGCCTCAGGTTTACGCCACATTACTTCAACACAGTTTACAAGGAAACTCTCCCTACATCTGCTTTCCAATCTCTTAGAATTTGAAGGGGAATGTAAGAGAGATTAGCCCCCAGACCCACAGCAGATGGACTTCAATTAAATATGTGAATATCTTGAAATAGAGTTCTATTAGTGAGGACTCTTAATCATAAAGAAAAAATTCAACTCAAACTAGCTTACTCAAAAAAAGCAGTTTATTGGCTCACATACTGGGAAGAACAGGAGTGTAAATTAAAAGTTTCTGCCTCTCATTTCTCATCTCTGCTTGACTTGGCTTCATTCTCTGACTTCCTATCTTCATATCTTGGCTTCATTTCTTCATTCTTGGTGCCTTTAGCTTTCCTCCACGAGGTGGAGAAGATAGCCCCAGGAGCCTCAGGCCTATATCACAGCATAACTACCCCAGCTTTTGTTTCCAAACTTGCATACATCAAATCCTAGGGAAGGTCTCTCATTGACCATGCTTGGTCAGGTCCTAACCTTTGAACCAATCACTCTTGTCAGGGGAAAGGACCCTAATTGGCCAGATCCTGGTCATGTGCCCATGCCTGAGGCCAAGGCTGTAGGAGTAATGTGACTCAAAGTCCTATGAAATGGGGAAGGCTTAGTTCTCCAATATTAAGGGTGCTAGAGAGACAAAAATGACAAAATC